GCAGCTAAACCAGCTGAAAACACAGTCTCTGTACGACCTATGCAGACTGACCCCGACATCATACAGCTACAGGAGCTAGATCCTGATATCAACTCCATGGTACTGTACTTGACTGACCCAGACAAAAATACCCCATCAAAAGAGGCACTGGACTCCAATCCAGACCTAAAATCGCTCTATCAGTCACGCAAACAGTTGAAACTAATCAAAGGCATCCTAACTTATACTCATGAGAAGACATCTTCACCTGTGTTCGTGGTTACTCATGACCACAGGGGAGTGATGTTAGTTCATGCCCATGACCTTCCGTCCGCAGGACATAAAGGGAATAAGGCCACACTCAAGGCATTGAAGCAGATCGCCAACTGGCCTGGGGTGAAAAAGGATGTAAAAGATTATGTTGAAGGGTGCCTGGTGTGCGGCCAGTTCCAACCGAGCAGACCACTTCATAGGGCACCACTGCAGAACAGAGGGATTACATTCCCGTGGTCTGACCTGCAGATCGACAGGRTTGGACCTATCACTAAATCCGCTAGAGGAAATAAATATTTTCTCMCCGTGACTTGCACGTTCACAAAATGGGTCGAATGTCTACCAGCTCCAAACGACACAGCACAAACCACCGCTACGTTGTTAATGAACCATGTGTTCTCAAGGTTTGGGCTGCCCATTAGGATGAATTCAGATCGAGGGACACACTTTACAGCTGAAGTGATGCAAGAACTGTGGAAGACGCTAGGTGTTAAAGCCAACTTCCATATTGGCTACCAACCACAGGCATCAGGCCAAGTAGAGAGAGTAAACAGAACTGTGGTAAGTATTTTAAAAACATATGTAGCCGCAAACCACAAGGACTGGGATGTGAAACTCCCCCTGGTCCTCATGGCCATCAGGGCCACTCCACACAAATCCACAGACATCTCTCCCTTCGAGATGATGACTGGCGACAGATGACGCTCCCCATACATCTTTTGTACCAACCTGGTGATACCACTATGGCAACAGCCTACACCACACAACAGTACATGAAAGATTTGGAGAAACATCTAAAAAACACATTTGCCTTTGCTCAAAGAAAACTTGAAAAGTCCACGGAGGGACGCAAAACATACTATGACCAAAAAGCCTCACCCGAAGAATTCCTGGTGGGTGAAAAAGTCTGGTACTATGTGTTCGCTCCAACACAGGGACAAAGAGAGTCCAGGACTGGAACTCTCGCCCGCAAACTAATGCCCAGGTGGACTGGACCCCACCTGATAACAGACAAACTGTCTTCAGTTGTCTACCAGATCAAAATCAGCAAAGGACAAAAAGAACCAATCGTTAAATAGGTCCATCGCAACCAAATCAAACCTTACAAGACATTCGATAATCTAACAAAAGATCAAGATCTCGTCACCAAATAAACACCCTTCAATCAAAACACCCTTAAAAGGTAAATAGGTCTTTAAAACAGATCTAAAAGAGGAAACTCTTGTAAAACTTAGAAGCACCACAGTAAGTCTAGAGTTAAGTTTTAAAAGATTTTCAAATAGGTCATAACAATCAGCTAAATAAACACTATTTGGCTTGGCCAGCAGAGTGAGCTGAAGCATTTTAACATCTTATTGCTTAGCCACAACTTGGTTGATGTGTGTATGTTCTAAAGCTTTCATTGTTAGTAATCTGTTCGGCACAGGAAAGACATCACTGTGAGACGGTGAATAGCATTGTACTGGTTCTGAGCACTCACAGCCAAGAAGTCGAGGTTTTGTATTGCTGTTAATGAATGGAAGTCTAATATGGAATTTGGCTATGCCAACATGCAGTGATTGATAAATCTCACTTATTTACAGGGCAATGTAGATTAATGCTACCTTAGGTACTGTAACCTACATTGACCACACCTTTTATTTCACCTTGACCCTTCTCGAAACAACACCAATCGGGGAGGGGGGGGGGGTATCTATTCTTCAAAATGAGTCTCGACGTAGACTCCAAAAATGATAAGGGAAACAAAATTTGAAAATCTAAAATCGCTCGTTTTAATGACAGCTACAGAATTAGACACTGTCTAAATTAACTGAGTTATGATTGGAGGAATAAGTAATTTATGTGGAAATTGAGGCCTTCCTTACAGAAGCCCTCTTTAGTCTCTAATAGATATGGACACTTATATCTACCCCTTAGTTAAAGCCACAACCCTTTAACTATTACCTGTAGCTTATCTGAAACATGATAGCTAGCACACAGGGCTTACATAGGTTTAGCCTAATGTAAAATCCCAACTTAAGGTTAACCTAAAACCACATAAATGCATGACACATAGGTTTAGCCTAAAAGTAAAATCCCAACTTAAGGTTAACCTAAAACCACATAAATGCATAACACATAGCAACCGGAAAAGCACTAGCTGGAGACGACTCAACACCCAACCTCCACAATGGCCCACGTACTCTGCTAAGGCGACCAGGCTTCAACGCTCTTGACCTTCTCCTCCTGGTGGTACCCATCTTCACGGCGTTCCAGTGGTCTCTTCCTGGCTCCTGCTCAGAGATCTCTACCTTCGATCCAGAGGTCCCCTTTCATCAGCAACCTTCCAGAGAGCGACTCGCAAAAGGTGGATTCCTGAAATTAACTTTTCTTCATGGTGTTCCAAAAAGTGGTTGACTCCAGATCATCCACAACAATCGTATGGAATTACCCGTGTGGATTATAATTCTTCCTTGGTGGATTACAATTCTTTGCTTCCAGTGGACTACAGACTCTGTTGTTCCTTGGATTTAAAGCTGTGCCGCAATGGGAGTTATTCACAAACATTATGGGGATCATACAAAAAAAAAAAGAAAAGGTTTTATTTACTTTTCGTCTTGAAGAAAAAAAATTGAACTGAAAGAACTCTGGCTATGGCAAGTTCTCAGTTTGGATTACCCTTGGGATTATACCATTTTTTCCTTTGGATTACTTCAAGTTCAAACAATTTCGAGGTGCCCGTTTTTGTTGCAACTAATCACCATTTGGGGGTGATGACTTGCAAAAGGGGGGTATGAACTGTAGGGGTCACCTCGAGTGAAGAAACAAGATTTTCTGCTTCTAAGCAGGCCTCGGACAGGCCTGACAAGAAGACAGGAACTCTGTTAAAAACTG